TTTTCAAGTAATGAGGGCCAGTTGCTTTCAAAGATCAGGTGGAGTTCACAGTTTTTGAGAGGAATAACCGATTTACATTACACCCCTTCACATAAAAGTCTATTCGCCCCCCCCCCCTCCCCCATCTTGAGCGAACCCCACGACAAAGTTATCCAATTGACCATGAAGAGGTTACGGTCTACTATAACCGAGTGCTCGCGGCAAGGTTACTTACCGTAATGCTACCGCAAACATCATTGTTGAACGGATCTACTCCTTGTTTTCATCCAGAATTCTCCCCAAATGCTTAGGTTCATCGGCTACTCTACACTGCTGTGAAAGCCATTTATAGATTCGTAATGCCAACCAAAGGAAAACAGACCCTCTATTCGAACAAAATTGCATGCCTGGTGGATTTATATATGACGTGCAATTTTACACTGAATAATTGGGGCATTACCTAGCTTTTCGTCGCTTTCCCGAATAGCTTTCCGGCTTTTTTCTCTCAAAAGCGAAAGCGCAGCTGCGCGTTTACTTTCTTTTTTTATAATTCGGCGCGGACGAAAATTGGAATAGCTGGAAAATTACTGAAAAATTTCGCTAACTTGCAAGTTCAAGCTGAACGCTCAATTTTTCTTTTGTTGATGCTTTTATGCTAAATTTAGCGAACTTAGAAGACCGCCAAAGGTGAAGTAAAGTTTATGGACAATTCTGACGCAAAAAATTGAGGAAACTAGACTTCTCAACCCCCAGAAAAGTTGCTGATTACTTGAATGGCTAAAAAGGGAATTAGCAAGACGAGCAATTTTGAACACTTCAAGGGCGAATATGATATTCAGTATAGAAGATTTGTCTTGTTAATCTGAGCATAAATCATCTAGCATAGATTCCCTTTCCTTTTTTTTTATAAGTAAAAATGGTTTTTGTGCGCTTGTCTTTAATTAAAAGCATGTTTATGCACAGAATTTATCTAACTTCAAATTTTGATTTGGGTAAATTTCAGTCGCTCCCTTTACAATAATAAACCCCCTATTTTGGTCAAATAGCGTTAATGAATGAGAGAGATCGCCGCGAATAATTTCCGGAGAATCTGATGGATGCTCATAACTTTCAAGGTAAATGATTGTTATGCAAGCCTACAAACCAAATTTTTCTGAGAATAGGTGAAGACTCTTCTATAGCATGATCAATGAATAGAATAGATTCTCAGGCATCTGAAGTGTTTTTAAAGTAAAGTAGAAATTCTCAATCATCTGTTTAAATATTTGGCAGCATTGGGGTGAATTGCACCATATTTGAATTTTCGCAAGTTTGCACTCATCTTTGTTTTATGGAATTTCCACAGAAGTTTTTGAAAAAGAAGCACTGCAAATCAACCGAAAACTTGAAAACTTACGATTCTAATATTAGCAACGATAAAACCGGAATTGTAGTGCATTTGCACCATATACATAGATCTCGGATAGGGCGGGAGGTTGGATTTAACGAAGTGCCCCTGTCTTAATATAGGGAGAAACGTAGAATTTATGGTCTGGTTCAGTTTGCATTCTAATAACTCTGCTTCTCTTGAAATGGATTCCCAGATTTCTGGTCACAAATTTAATTAGGCCAGGGATACAGTCGATAAAAATTAGTCTTCGATTTGAGTCTTGGATAGTTAACATTTTGTAAGAAACCGATCAGATAGTCTAACAAACAACAGTAAGTTCTTTTTGACACTATCCCCCCCCCCTTCACACGTCTACCCTTCCTTTCTGGTCCTTGTACTATCCGATGATGCTTTGCTTGGAAGAGAGAGGGGGGGAGGGTGGAGTTACATAAATGCGACCAATGCGCAGTACGAATTTTGCACCAGAATGATGAAAAATTATAAAGGAAAACGAAAATCTGAGATATTTTAGATCTTTGGAATATCACTTAAATTGAAATATTACTTGGATGCAACGTTATACCTCGATCCTTTGGTTCCTTGGTTTCCTCGGTTAGTTTTATTTGCTGTTTATTTTTGCATTCACAATGTGAGCTGGTTAAAACTTGAGATAGGTGAATACCAAAAAGAAAACATTTGGTGGTCGAGACCATTGCTGAAAATTTAGGGGGCATGTATCCAAAATCACTTGCAAAAAGCTTTTCTTGACGCCTAGAGCAAACAAATTAATAATAATTTGTTTGATTAATAATAACATAACATTTGTATGTCTCCACCCTCGGTGGAGACATACAAATGCAAGGTTAAAAGCGGAAAGAAGACGAAAAGTGAGCTAAATGAGATTTTCGGAAAATGAAAATGAATGTTATATGCCCGACGTCAATTTTTTTGTTCATGTTGGTTTTTCTGACATTTTGCAAGAATGCAGTTTCTTAGTTTGTAATCTGATACATGTATAGAACCTGAGATTTCCAAATAAGGTGTTTGCTCGGGAAACACCTTGTGCGTGTTGTGCATGACGTTTCGTGTTGAGAGCAAATGGATGGACTTTCTGAGCGAGGAAGTAAATATGATACGAGTATTCCACTCTAGCCTCCATTCTATGCATGATATATTTGAGAATGTAACAGACGAGCTAGCAAGATGGATGAAAAACAAGTTGTAAAGAAGAAATACTACTTTTCGAAAACAAAAAAAAAACCAAAAAAGAAGATGATGTAGCAAAACTGTGATATTTTGAAATATTCCACCAGTGACAGAAATCACTGACTGATTTTTACTCAAAATCAATTGCTTGGTCCCTCTATGAGTAACAGACATTAAGTGCAACTGCGGACGATCTCACCCTCCCTTATCGCGCGCACTCTCATCGCTCTCGTCGTCTGCCACCTCCTACAAACACCTACTCTCTCTCAAAAAGACGTGCTACCACTTTTTGAATCCGCACCTGTCCCTTTACTTACCATAAAAAATAGCGTTTCAGACTTCACAGGTTAGAGAAAAACACAGTTCTGGATCTTTTTCCAATAAATGTTTCATGGCAAAATTGCATGCCAAGTTGTTCGAATTTCTAAGCCAAGCCACACAAAATACGTTTTGCTTGAAAACTCTTCGGAAATTTCCTAAACGCGCGAACTTCTATGATTTTGAAAACTGGTACATTTGCCATTTCTCGAAAATTATTCAAGCTCCCGACTTCAAAATTTGAAGGCCCCCGACTATGCCGTAAGACAGCGATGAGAAAGTTGACGAAGTTCATTTTTTGCAAATTTCACATGTGCTTCCATTAATAAAGTGTTGGAAGTAGGGAATGGGGAACTTAACTTCATTTATAGATTTTCGATGTAATGTGAGTTCTGCGAAAATGACTTTCCTTTCAGAACTATGTAATTACTTAGTTTTGTGTAGTACCATGTAGTAATTAAACAGGTGATTGAGAGTATAAGAACGCAATAAAATATACGGTCATTGCCATGGAGCTATGATTTTTTGATTATTATTCCACTATTTCAATTCCATTCTTCATAATGAGTATGAACTCGCAACATTTGAAATCTACTTTGCGGATCAAAAAATTGAAATTAAAGTGCTTAATTGAGCTGTTGTCGTTTTTCAAGATATTAACTGAATTCTCAACTCGATTGCAAATTCTCAAGCCTGTGGCTATGAAAAAAACCTAATAAGGTTGCGTATAAAAGTGCGCCGTACATTACCTTTTGAATTTTGTTTAGAAACACAAAAATCCAAAGGTTGATAAAAAAAATTATGAGGAAAATTTTTTTTGCTTATAAGGGGTTTGTAACGCACTTGTACTTTTATGCCTAAATGATAATGTCCAACCCTGCTAAAAAAAACAATAGTCACCAAATGGAGGTACTGAATGAGGGCAGCAGGAGGAGTATGGTAGCACAATTACCCAAGAGAAAAAATTTATATTTCAAATCTCGAATTATGTTGGATTATAGGACTAGAGATGATGCAGAGAAAGTGCACGTAATATTTAAGGACCTGTTTCTGACAATGAGATGAAGATCGACTTAGCGCTAGATCTTCCTGGTCCCTCAGGCTTCAGAAGCTGACAATGTTGTTCTACAGTTGTCCTTATTCTTTCATGCAGCTAACATAATGACTATAAGATATGCAATTTGCAGTTTTCTGAGTTCCAAAGTCTTCTCTCCTTAAATCAATTTTAATTATCTTTTTTTTGCAAGAAATCAAGGTATTCAACTCATTCGACCTCTTTTAAATTATGCTATAATTTTTCAAACGAAAACGAAAGCAAAGAATTCTAAGAATAGAAGATCTCAGCCAACTGCCTAACAATACTAGAAGTCCTACTTGGAGAAAACTGAAGGTATTGGGTATGAAGAGTCTCTTTTCTAATGAATGAGCTATAGAACTGAAGACCAAAGTAATATCTTGAAAGATTAATATAATTTCTCGAAGTTGCTATTGTACTCCTACCTTATCTATACTACACCTTCCTTAACAAAAGACGTTATGAAGCCCATGTGTGGAAAAAGCTTGAGATACAACGTATGAATTTTTAATCTAATTATGCTATTTTCGACAAAGACTTAAGCTTCATTTCTTCAAGGCTTGCTACCGTACTTCTACAATATAAAAAGGCATGAGCCTAACAAGGAAACTTATTAAGCTCATGTCTTTTTAGCTGGTCCAAATTTTTTGGGATGCTTCATATAATTTTGCAGGCCCATAATAACTCCTAAAAGATAAGAAAAAGCAGAAAATTTTTTACAAGGCTACTCTGAATTTTTGAAAATTTGTTAAAATTATTTTAATTGGTTTCAAAAATAAATAAGACACTGGCACATTTTTATTACCCATGCAAGTAATTTTAAAAAATTTCGAGAGCCATTCTCAAAGGGGGGGCTCTAAGTCTCGAAATTCCCCCCCCCCTTCGGTCCGCCATTGCTACTATGCAGGAATGGCTTTTTTTCAATTTTAAGACGCTCTTTTATGCAAAATATCCACTTACTTTACCTAGATTGCAACACCGGTACACACCGTAAGCTTACCGTGCTCCTACCGTACCACGCTTGGCAAGAGTAAACATATGGATGGAACAAACCTGTCCGGATACTGTGACGATCGCAGCTGAAAGAATCAACGACAGAACGGCGACGACAATGCTCCTCATGACGGCGACGGCGAACTGCGAAGTGAAGATCTCGACTGGGCGGGGTCAGCGGCCAGTTAGTCGCCATCGCGGCCACGCCCACTTATGGGTTTTAGCTGTTTGAGCTGTAGCGATGATCTGAACGGTTCAGATGGGATGCGGATGTGAGAGGGGGGGGGAGACACGGCTGCTAATTTTTTTTATGTGGAGGAAATTATTTTTCTTTATGGTAAATGATGAACGTCGAAAACTCAATTTACATTCAATTAGAAGTACACGAAAATTTTTTTGAAAAAAATGTCAAATGGCGCAGAAAATTTTCAAGGAATTTTTTTGCCCCTCTTTTCTAGTTACCATTGAGAACTGCGGTGAAAATGATATAGGCACCAAATACGTCATGCAGAGCACTTTACTTTCCAAGTGGAAGCTGCGAAACTGCTGAAAGCTTTCATCTAATGAACTTTTCAAAACTGGCAATTTCCAACACTCTAAATGAGAATTCGTCATATGTTTGTTCCCTTAGAATCAGGGAATATAGGCGGTTCCTTTGCTCGCGTACAACCTCTTCAACACCTTCTTGAGTGCATTTATTGCTTTTTCTTCTTCCGGATGAATGTTGTCTAACCACTCCTTAGCAGGGCTAAAACTTTTCTTCATGAAAATATTGTTTCATTGGGATTTATTGTATCCCTATGACTTCGCTATAGTCTATTGCGATGATGTGTATCTTTTTCCCAAGTTTCAACTAATTGTCTCTCAAAATAAATAACATTCCGACAAAAGAATCTCTGGATCTAAAAAATCATAAGCTGATTATGAAGTAAATATTTATGGCAAAAAAAATTTTTCGTTTCTGGAATGACCTTTTTCGAACTAAATATCATGAGTGTGATTAGAGCTACAAATCGTAAACAATATAAAAAGAAATAATTATTCATTGTGACGTTATCATTCGTCATGATGCATTTGAAGGCTTTTATTTTTCCACTATAGTTATCTTTATTTTTAAATATTTTTTAGTAATACTTTCCTAATATTTGTTATTTTTCTCACATATTTCCTGATCACTTCATAGCGAATAGGCACGCGATAGAAAACATAAATCGCATAAGCGTCCACTTCCGCATCTCCGATTTTGGCTTATTTTGGGCAAGCGACAAATCTTCAACTTGCTATTATATTCCATTCATAACCTATTTTCCTACCTTAAAATAGCAATTATCCGTCAGAGTGAGGAAAAATGTACGTGGACAATTTTCTCGTAGAGTGAGAAACAATGGACAGACTGCTCTCTTAATAGCTAATCAAAAATTCAGGATTTGTAATCTTTGGTGCATTCTTATCCTTTGCGAACTTGCGCGGTGCTCAAAGTTTGGAGCCCCTATAAAAGTTGAATCTCAAGTGCACTAACTCTCAGACAGTTTGCGCCACTTACTTCGTACATTCCAAACCTTTTTAACTTTTTTGAAGAAAATCTGATTGTGGAGATGGAAAGAACAACTTTTGAAAGAAATGTGCTCCAAACTCAATCTGCCAACTGGATTAATTCTTGATCTTAGATTATACGAACCACGAAATTAAACAGGGTAACCATAAAATTTAGGGCACACGGCAGCCACGCCCCCTTCTACAAGATTTTAGGGGTTATGGGCCCGCAAAAATTTCGAAAAGCACCCCAAAATCTTTTGGAGTGCGTGGCTAACGCCACGCGCCTTCGTTTGAAAAAAATTTTTGTCGCCTCCCCTCTTCCTGGTCCGAAATCCTGGGATCGCCTTCGGTGCCTAAGCTTCTTATGTGGGGAATGATTGGGAGGCCTTGATTGAGCTATCGCCAAACCGCAGCTTAAATTATTCATTTTTAGCGGGGATATTTAGCATCAAACTCCAGCGCAGATCTTACTCTACAAGAACGGACCAATCAGCGTTTTCGAGTACGGTAGGAAGTACACTTTTAGTCCGTATCAATATGAGAACGATCTGAAATCGAAAAGGTAGAACTCTTCCAATGACTTGTAGGTGCTTTCCCATCCCTGTGGAAATAGTTCTGGCATTTTGCCAGCCGGAACTGATGGTGGTAGAAAACGAGTGGACATCTCTTTATCAAGTGTATTCATAGGACAGCAGTTCGCAGATATTTTCCTATACGTCCAGACTCAGGAAAAATTGAGTTACAACTCCGTCGGCGCCAGTGCCGTGTCAGAGTCGTTCAAACAACGTGCTACGTTTAGGGAAACGATAGCCGCCGGTTTGGACGCCTCCGCGGACAACTGGTCTTTGAACGACATGCAGCGATACTGCAAAAGGACCAGTTGGCCGCGAAAGGCGGCTCAAACTGGCGACCTTCTTTCCCCTACTCACGTGCTACTTCAACCGACGTGGAGCACTGCATACTAATCGATCAAATTCCACCGACACAACTTCGGCACGCCGCTGGCACGGTGCTGGATCGGCGTTAAACTATGCTGGCAAACGGCAAATGGCAAACGGCATTGGCAAACGCCGCTTTTTCAAATAATCCTGCATTTCATGCTAATTCTCAACATTGTCCAAGCTGGACCGTCGCTCAATCTCGGCATTGTTTGATTGCTTCTTGAGACTGCTTGAGCTGCACACCGAGATTAGCAATTTTTTTATTGACTGACGTTTCGGCAAGAAGTAATGCTCAACGCTTCAAAGACCTACGGCATGCCATTTTTGGCGCTTTATGGGATAGACTGTAAACAATCCACGGTCATAGTACATACAAAGTGGGTGCACTGCATGGTCGAAAGTGTTCATTAGTCTCACATGTCTCATGCGCGTACGAAAGCTCGTAAAAGAAGGATCAAGTGGACTACGAACGCTTATTGCCATGTCGAATGGTGGTTGTAATAATCCGTTCAAATGAGCCGATTTGGAAAAAAATAGTCAGCGGTTCGAGATAAACCGTGGACTGCGGTAAGTTGGAAATGATGGAGGTACAATTGCGCAATTCGTGCACCACAAGTTATGGGTTAGATCGCTTTTATGTAACTATTCTGTTTATTTGTTTTCCATACAGTCTATCCAGCTCTACCCTAAAAAAATTCGTGTTAATATTTCAGCTCTTTTGTTCTTGAGAAAGGTTTAGGAAATTTGTACATGAATTATATAATTATGCGATTAAGTTATATTTATTTATGAATTTTAACTTGTAATAAATCAGCTTTGAATAGACTTTTCACGTCTGTCTGGGCTTATTCCTACGTAAACTTGCGAGGATTAGAAACTGCTTGTTTTCCCATCCCTTGAGAAAGTGTGAGGCTAACGTAGAGAATAGTCTACGCCTACTGTGGAGGTTTGAATTCTGCAAATGCACAATGCAACGTTACATATCCAGGAACCCACATTTGTATCCTTAAGAAATCTTTCGATTTTATGCATGCATTTATATGCTTAGAACTAATTTTCAGTGCCATACTCCCAAATATTAGGTTGTCCCGAAAGTTTTGTCGGTTTTTTCAAACCACTGTAAAACCGCGCACAATGAAGATTTGAGTGACTTTCAACATGCATTCGATGCAGCTTTTCATTCTCTTTCTGATGGATACACTTTCATACCATAGTCTTGTATGCTTTCTTTGATAATTGCCAAAATTCTCCACCTGTCAATTTTACCTGCTCAAAGTTGAGCTAATTTTCAAAAATTTCATTACAAAGTTTCGAAAAAGACTAAGCATGTATCAAATAGACCAACTCTCGGGCTATAAGCTCATGTTTTTAGATTCTCCTAATCTGCTGATTTTAACTTCAAAAAATTATTTCTCCGGAGGCCTTGGTTTTTAGCAAAGTCATGAAACGCGCAATTGCAGCAAAAGCATGAAAGCTTTTGAGTTTTTGCGAATTCAAACTTGTTTGTTATTTAACATCATTTATGCAACATAACCAAGTTTGATTTGCTTCAAAAATCAGCTTTTTGTAATTTTCGGTAATTTTACGTGATAAAACGTGTTCAAAAAGCCGCGGTTTTTCTCAAATAAATAATTATTACGGACATTATAAACGTGGCCCACGTAATCTAAAATAGGTACAATGTAGCCAGATGTTTGTCCTACATAACAGTCACCAGCGCTCATCGAAAATATCAAGATAAAAATTTTGAAAATTCAGGAAAGTTTTGGCGCTACCGCTGAGGTGCTCAAAAAACCATGGCGGTAACATCGTAAAGACGGGCTAGATTAGGGAACAAATATAGCCATAAGAAAGAGGATGCAAAAATGAATAGAATGACACCTAGGTCGTCTATGGATTGGTGTTCTGTGAGGTTTAGTGAGCGATGAAAAAAACCGACAAAACTTTCGGGACAACCTAATATATTAGGGTTTTATAATCACAGGAGGTCAGCATGCCAGAATGTCGTCGGCGTCAAGTGTGCGATCGCACATGCACTGAGTTAAGTGAAATTGTAGGATCTGGAAAAGCTTTAGAACTTCTCCAAAATTGTGCTATTGACTTGGACTGACTGGGACTCTTGCGTACCGTAATCTCGGGATCCTTTCTAACAAACATACTGCTTTTCCCCCTTCCTCCCTATCCCCCCCCCTTCGTGTTCGCACTGATTGCAGCTCGTCCGACGGCTTTGATTCATTTTGAAATCGGTGCGTAAACGCAATAGCCGAATGTGATTTCTCTATTAGGCACATTGCATGCGCAGACAAAAGATCGAGTTTTGTCTTTTGGAAGCTAAACTGCTATAGCTACAGGCAGTAGATTTGCAGCCCCATTGAGCTTCAATACGCATCGTTGAAGAGAACATTCTGCACAAGTGAGTTAGATGCTGGTCATTTACTTTATTCTCAATTGACCGTAAGCTGATAGGGTAGTTGTGCGAAATACTCTTCGATCTGAACGATCGTTATTTTTTAGCGTTATAAGAGTCTTGAAGGAGGGGGGGGGGTAGAGTGGCGGGGGAATAGAATAGTACTTTTCTAGATGGAAAGGCTTCCGTTAATTAAGCACTCCAAAGTCTGAGATGCCTCTAAAATTTTAATTTTTTAAAACCCCCTTCTAGAAAATGGGGTGGAGCGAAAGC